GGTGCCAGCCCCATATACCGAGGGTGGTGGGTTCAAACCCAGCCCCAAATTGCAACAACAACAAAATAGCCGGGCATTGTGGCATGTGCCTGTAGTCCCAGCTACTCGGGAGGCTGAGGCAAGGGAATAGCCTAAGTCCAAGAGCTGGAGGTTGCTGTGATGCCACAGCATTCTACTGTGGGCAATAAAGTGAGACTGTTTCAAAAAGAAAAAGAAAACTTGTCATTATGTATCATATGTTAAATGGAGAAAGCGTGTAAGATTTAGCCTCAAAATAAGGAGGGGAAATCTTTAAGGCATTAAGAAATGTTTTAAACTAAAAACTACAAACCACTGTACCACCTGGTGCCCCATCAACCCATGCTGCTGACAGGGTCACAGGCTGGAGATAACAGCTATTACAAGGGGAGTGAAGACAGTGCATCTGGCTTCAGCCAGGCTGACCACTAAGAACCAGAGCCCACTGGGCACCTGTGGGGCCTGCAACATGAACATGGATAGGTCTGAAGGTGATTGGGGGTCACCAGTATATAGACCCACTCCTAGGCATATTGGAGGAACTAGTCTTGGCCAGCCAAGTCCTACTCAAAGGACAGAAATGTCAGGACAAGTCATGGGAGGTATAGGCTATGGCAACACAGGACAAACCAAACACTCGGGCGAATAGGAGTAAAGCCAAAGTGGGGGTGCAGGAAGCATCACTGAGTATCACCTGCTACAGATCAGAGGGATTTGAGTACTCTTTGAGAGTTAGAAGCTTTGCTGGGCAGCTGCAGCCCCCTGGGGACATGTGTCTCTGAAGGCCTCTGTCCCAATACAACAGTGCCCACAGGTTGCCCTGCTGCAAAGCACACGTCTCAGAGAAGATTCAAGAGACTCTAAGTGATGGAACCACACGCGTGCATCCTGCCCACTGGGTCAGGCGAGCCATCCCTGCACATGCCTGGTCCTGTGCAGTCCCTTTGGGGAGGCCTCAGGAAGGGGACTGACCTGGCTCTCCAGGGGCATGTTGTAGACCTCAGAGTCCAGCAGCATTGTACAGGCGCTGAATGGCACAGCCTGGTTGGCGATGGTCCTGGCTGCCCGGCAGTGAACACGCAGAATCTCCTGCTCACAGGACACGATCAGTTTCTCCTGGGAGAGGAGGAGCTGGGTGAGCCAGGACAGGCCCCACCCCGGACCCCTGCCAACTCTCTCCTACCCACTCACCGACCCTCCTACCCGCTCGATGCTGTGCTGCAGACGAAGCTTTCCCCGGACAGTCTCTTGTTGCTTGAAGAGCTCCTTCAGGGGCTCCGCCAGGGAGGGAGGGGGCGCGATCTACAGGCAAAGGGCAAGAGAAGGTGTCATGGGGTGCACAGTACACAGGTCCTAGGGAGCTCCCCCAGAGACCACCTCCAGGCCTACAATAACACAGAACAAGCCAGGCAACTCCCTGGAAACCACCAGACACCAGATATGGGGGCAACCAACCATCCCCAGAGCATACCACACGCTGCAAGTGCAGTGGGGCGATGCTGTGAGGGAACAAGGCAGGAGACTGTGTCTATCAGCAGAGAGAGCACAGGCCTATACACCCATTTGCCCACAAGGACTGGGACAGGCAGGGATGTGGCAGCAGCTGAGCGTCCAGCTCGTCACAGCAAGGACACCCACGCCCCAAACCAGCCACTGCACCAACCAGGACATAGTGCCTCAAATGGAACACGAGGCTGACAGCTGAGCCAGGCTGGTCTAGGCAGTCCCACAGCCACCCTGAGGGAGGGGACGGCACTCTTGTCCAGGCCTCTGAGGGCTGGAGATGAGGCAGCTGCCCACAGCAGCCGCCCCTACAGTCATCTGGACAGGAACAGAGCAGGCGGAGTACAGGGGTTAAGAACAAGGCCTCTCTCGGACAGAGAAGGAACCAAAAAAGAATGCGGCAACTTGAGGCCAGGTCATGGGGGGTCAGGCAGCATGAAAATTGGCACTCAGATAAGATGGGGATGTGGTGGGGGAGGCACCAAGGAGCTCCTGAGAGCTGGAGCACCGTGCATAGCAACACTCAACACGCTGGACAGCTCAGCTCAAGGGGTTGCGGTTCCTAATAGCACCCAGTCAACATATGGGGTGAAGCAGCCCCCCGAGCCTCCTGTCCGTCACTGAGTGGGCACAGGTGTGTGGAGAAACAGGGTTCACATGCAGCTAGAGTCTCATCCCTGACACACACTCTGAGTGCAAAGTGTCCAAGTGGCAGATGCTGAGTTAGCATCTCTGTGACAAACCCTCTGACATGTGGGGTGTCCATGGCACTGCAGGGTTCCTGCCAAAGACACATCACCTCCATCCTGCCATGGGACACCTGACCAGATGAAGGCCTGATGTTCCTCAAAAACATCAAGTCCCGAGAGTGCAGGGAAGGCTACAGATGTGGACAAAGAAGGAGGCCACCACCCGGGAGCTGTACCAGTAGGACCCGAGCATGGTGCACACAGACTTTCTGTGGTCTTTGAACTTTGTTCTCAGTCTACAGTTAATTTAAAATAAAAACTTAAAACTCAATGAGGTCTCCCCACCCTGTACTCACTCACCGTACCTCCATCTGCTCACCCCACGCCTGCTCTGCCTCCACAGGCCCAGCCCCGGGGGTCTTGCGTGAGGTCCCCTTGAGGGTGGCCTGCTCCTCTGCAGGGGCAGAGACACAGTGTGGGCCACTTCCAAGGTGCTCCCGGTGGGGTGCTCACCCACAGCTCGCTGCAGGCACAAGCGCCCCCCCAACCCCTCAGGCCCTCAGAGCACCTGCCCCCAGCTCTCCTCTATCTCAGGCAGTCATGGTGGGAGGCATGCAGAGGACTCAGGGTCACTCTGAATGGGAGCCTTAAAGTGTACCTTCCCTGTATTTCCAGAATTTCTATAGTAGTCATGTTATTATTCTGTTTGTTAATATGTAAGATTACATTATTACATATGTAATTGTTTTGATAATATGTAAGAAAAATAAAAAATCACAAAAAGTCTTACTGAGTGGAAATCTGAGGCCAGATTTTTCTGATACTAGTGACCTGAACAGTCATCTGTCCTCTGCCCTGGGGGATTCAGAACTAGCACACCAGGAGAGAAGAAAATGATCCAGCTCCTTGGAACAGAGCTCATAGCTGAGTTGGAAAGAGGGGCTGAGGACTCCCTGCTGTGGGCCCATGAGTGTCTTTGGTAGTAGCTCTAGCACGGCAGGCCACAGCAGGCTTCCTGTGGCCAACTGTTCTGGGGGAAGCACAGCAACTTGACTCCCACCTGGAAGGGCACCAGTGAGAAGAGACCTCAGGGAACCTGGGTCCAACAGAGCAAACCAACTCAAAAGAACCTGCCTTTTAGCACTGGACATGCCCTCTCAGACCACACTGAGTATAGTGCAGGCTCCAGGCCTCAGACCTTCCCTGGTGAAGGTCCACTGGACATCTGCACCTAAAAGCCTGTCCCAGGCATAGCAGGACAAGTATGTCCTGTCTGTTCCTCAGGAAAGTGAGAAGGATGGGCCAGTGAAGAGGGAGGGACAGGCCTGGGCACAGGGAAGGAGGAGGGTCCTCAAGAGGGAGGGAGGGAGGAGGAAGAAGGGGGAGGAAAAGGAAAACTAAGAAGGTGAGTAGGGAGGAGGAAAGGGGTGGAGGAAGGAGAAGGGGAAGGAAGTAGAGAAAGGGGAGCAGTGAGGAGGAAGAGAGAGGAGGAAAAGGAAGGGGAAAGGGGAGGGGGAGGAGGAAAGGGGGAGGGGGTCGCCCCTCACAGGGCCCACACACTCACCACCGGGATGTGCAGCTTGCTGAGAGGCTTGCCGTCCAGCAGGTAGGAGCCAGTGTAGGTGACGTACTCGGCGTAGCACTGCGGGGCCTGCGGCGTGATGTAACACAGTATCTTGCGCTTCTCCTCTATCTTCTTGCGGATCTGCAGGTACTCGAAGTAGGGGTTGGATCTGTCACTGTGGTACGGCTCAATGTCATCCAGCTTGATGGCATCCACGATGGCGGCCAGCGTCTGCTGGATGACCTCGCGCGTCTGCCGGGTAGATGTGCTGAGTGGTGGCAGCTGCTGCCCAGAGCGTTGCAGGCGCCGCTTGCGGGGGTGCTGGGCCTGGGCCTCATCGTCCTCACAGCCACGGCCCCGTGCCCTGGCTGGGGCGGCTGGGCCCAGCTCACGCTCAGGGGGCGGCGTGCCCTGCTTGCCCTGGCTGGCCAGCATCTGCGCACGGGTCCTGGTCATGCGCTGCGGCGTCTCCTCCACACGAGGGACCTTCGGGGCTTCAGCTGCAGTTTTGGGCTCAGGTTCAGCCGCTGTGGGTGACACACTGCCCGGGAGGCCTTCAGCAGGCCCAGGCACACGATGATTGACCACAGAGTTCTCTGCGGGGCCAGGACCATCGAGGGCATGCATGTGCGTCATGCTGTCCCTGTCCTGAGCAGGGCTGTCAGGGCCCCTGGGGGATGCGGGGGAGGAGTCTTCAGCCTCAGTGCCATCCTCCCTAGCCCCTGGCAGGTGCTGCTCAACAGCAGGGTTGGGAGCGGGCACTAGGCAGGTGTCCACATCCTCAGAAGCCCCCTCTTCTGACACCATCTCAGCTTCCACTGTGGCCTCCAGGGACAGGCCCAGCTCGGGCTCTGTTGTGGCCTCCGGCTCCATGGGCAGCAGGGTGGCTGCCTGCTCAGGGGGCAGCGCTGGTTGTCCCTCAGCCGCCAATGCAGAAACATTACCCCCACTTATGACCACAGGGGTCCCTGGAGGAATCTTTTCTGGAGGAACAAGACTTTCTCCTACAGGCTCCGTCTCAACACCCGAAACCTCTTTAGTCTGAAGAGGAAGCTCTGGGAGGGAGAAGGGCCCCAGGTCGAGGGTGTCCTCAGATTGGGCAAAGGCATCAGCCCAGGGCACCGGCTCCACCTGGCCGAGGGCAGACACAGACAGGTTGTGGCTGTTGTCCAGAAAGCTGTTTTCCAAAGGCCCAAGGGTCTCCACCTGGGCCACAGTGGTTACACAAGCAGGCTCAGGGGCCACATCAAGAGGGGCTTCCGGAAGGGATTTACAATTGCTGAAGAAGGACTCCAGCCTGGAGGGAGGGGCGTATGGAGCCGCCTCCTCAGCAGTGGGGACAGCGGCAGGAACTGCCTCCACCCCATTGTGTCTGACCTCCTCTAGTCCGGGCTCTGGGATGGACAGAGGGTAGGAGACAGGAGAGACAGGGTATGGGGGCTCAGAGGTGCTGAACGGTCCTGGAGCAGCAGGATGGAGGGACTCTGCAGGACAGAAATGTTTCGGGGACTCTGGAAACCTCTGTGGAGACTTAAGCAAAAGGTCTGACCCCACAGGCCAGGTAACGGGGTTTTCCGAGGCACTCCCGAGTAAGCTGGAAGAAAGAGTCTGCTCAGCAGGGTGGGCCCACTCCACAGGCTCCTCTGTGATGACAGTGCTGAATGGGCCCTCGTCCAGGGGCTCCAGGTAGTTGGGTTCCGGGGGTATGATGGCAGCTGTGGCCTGCTGGTCCTCTGTGGCATCCAGAGGGAGGCCCAGGTCAGGGGGAAGGGCCCCTTCCAGGGAAGAGGCCAACACCTCACCTCTGGGAGATGGAGAGGATTTTGCTTGTAAACTCGAGAAGACCCCATCTGGAGGTGGGGTGACAGTGACAACAGCTGCAGGTGGGCAGTGCAGAGCCTCGACCCTGGGGGAGGGGACGCCATAGTCTGGGGAGTAACACCCTGGGGACAAACATGCAAACTTATCCGCAGGCACCGGGGGCAGAGGAGCCTTGTCCTCCATTAGGTGCTGTGCAGGAGAGCCATATCCGGCCGAGGCAGGGACACTCTGCTGCCTGAACAGCTTGTCCCCAATGCTGAACTCCTCTTCAGGGGTCCTCCTGATATCAACGGAGATTGAGCGATAAAGATTTGTAGAAAGAGGCCTTGTGGGAGTCTGGCCAGGGTTTTCTGAGAGCCCGCTTGAAGCCACAGAGAACCTGTCAAAAAAGGAGGGGGAGCAGGCGCTGGTGGACGCAGAGGAGACAGGCGGCGAGTGCTGGGAGTCAGTGCAGTCGAACACGAGGTCGTGGTAGTCGTCAGCACTGCAGGACGGGGTCCGGGGTGTGTGCATCACCTCCTCAAAGCTGGGGCATGACACCGCTGATGTGGGGGTGGGCACCCCAGTGGGCCGGCTCTGCTCAGGCCTGGGCGAGGCAGGCAGGACCTCCTTCCCATGAGGTCCCGCAAACCAGTCTTTGGGATCTGTGGCTGGTCCTGGGTGTAGCTTATTTTCAGTGGTGGCTGGCGTTGGAGTTGATTCCTTGAGTTTTCTGTCTTTAAACAGAGGGTCTTGCCCCAGCGGTTTCTTGGAGGGAACATCCAGCCCCTTTTTGCGCCCATCATCAGCCGGCTTTGCCCTCTCCTTGAGCCGAGGGTCCCCAGACCGGTGCCGCAGCTTCTCCATCTGCTTCATCCTCTCCTTGTGCCTCTTGTGGCGCTCCTCAACCTCCAGGTCCTTCTGGGACAGCATCCTCTCAAAGCTGGTCATCATCAGATCACCGTCCCCCAGCAGCTTCTCTCGGGGCCTGGCGTCCCTCTTGCCTGGATCCTTAGGCGGTACCAACCTCTCACTCCCGCTGCTGACCCTCACTGAGTCACCTTTGTCTTTCTCCGCATTCTCCTTGAGTTTGTCCTTCAGTTTCAAGCTCTCATCCTTGGGCCTCTCCTTGCAGGGGTGAGCAGAGTTGTCCCTGTCTCTGCCCACAAGCTTTTGCTCGTCCCGGTGCTGTCTCAGGAACCCATCCGCCTGCCTCTCCCGCAGCTTCTCCCTCTCCTCTCTCCACCTCTCCCTGTGTTTGTCCCGCTTCTTTTTTTCTCGTAGGATGTTGATGCTGCTAGATCCGTAAGGCTTTAGTTCCTTTTCTACTTTCTTAGAAGCTTCTCTTTCAGAATCATTTTTATCTTTCTTTTCAGTAGAAAACAAGTCAATGGTTTTATCTAAATCATCTTCTGTATCCGCTTTACCACCATAGGGAATGCCGTATGCATCAGCATCCAAGAAGTCCTTCTCATACTGGCCAGAGTCCTTCCTGCTGCTGAGGTCCTTGACATCATCACTCCTCTCTCTCCTCTCAGCCCTCTCCTTACGGGCTTTCTCCCGGTCATGGCTCTTCTTGGATGAGGACGAGGAGTGCCTGTGCCTCTCCTTCTCCCTCAGCCTCTCGGGGAGGCAGGCACCCTCCCTGACCTTGTCCTCTAAGGCCGGCTCCGTGAAGGACACCTCCAGCAGCGTGCTTAGCCCCGGCTCCTGCACTCGGTCGGTGAAACTGTCGGACGAGACCTCGCTCACTTTATCGTTGGAATCTTCCCTGTACTCATGAAGCGCTGCTTCTTCCAGCTTCTCCAGCAAGCTCTTCTCCATCTCCGCGGCCCGGGAAGACTTCCTCTCTTTAGAATGCTCTTTATCTGACTTGTCTTTGTGCTTGCTTTTAGACTTATCTTCAGCGGAGTGTTTCTTGTCAGCCTTCTCAGGGAGCTTCTGTTTACTTTTCTTTTCTTGAGTGGTGTCCACTGACCCTCTGTCTTTCCTGTCCTTGTGTTTTTCTGTGGACTCTTTATCCTTCTTCTCTTTGTGCTTCTCAAAGGCCTTTTCCCTTCTGTCCTTCGTCCCTTCAGTGGCCACTCGGTCCCTCCTCTTATCTCTGGAGTCCCTGTCCTTCTGCCGCTCCGAATGCTGCTTGTCAGAGGACTTTCTGTGCCTGTCAGTGGCATAGGGCTCCCTCCCCTCCTCCTGCAGCCCATCCACCCTCTGGATGTCACTGGTCTCTCCGAGCTTGAACCCACTCGCCATATAATCGTCTTTTTCATCTTCACTTTCGTCCGTGAATATATCTGCAATATACCAGCTTTTCTCTTTACCCTTCTTCTCATCTTTTTTTTCAGAGAAGTCTTCTGAGATAATTCCAGGGAAAGTTTTCTCTTTTTTTTCTTTCCCTTGGTCAAGAGACACTTTTCTTTCTTTGCCATGTATGTCTTTATGCTTTTCCTTGGTATCTTTTTTCTCTTTAAAACACTTATCAAATTCTTTGTCCTTCTGACATTTTTCAAGGACAGACTTTTCATTTTTGTCTTTGTCGCTGGACTTATCTTTGTATTTTTCTGATTTTACTTTTTCCTTCCTCTCCTTATCGAGGCTGTCTTTCTTCTCCTTCTCTCTCACTGGGTGATGCCTCTCCCATGGCTCCAGGCTCTTTACAAAGTCCCCATCAGCCTTGTCCTTGAAGATGCCCTCGCAGCCACAGTCCTTTGGGTCCTCCCTGCGCGCCTCATCGGGCTTCCCTCTGCTGTCCCTCCGCTCCTTGGTGCTCTCGAGGGTATCCTTCCTGTCCCTCCCAACCTCTGCAGACTCTCTCCTCTTCTTGTCCTTCTCTGAGAGGTAGCTGGAGATGCCTCTGTGCTTTTCTACCAGGTCTTTCCTCTTCTCGGAGTTCCTGTCCGTGTAGTCCCTGTCCTTCCTTCTGAAGAGGGCGTCTCTGTAGTCTCGCTTCTCCCGGGCCCTGCCATCCCGCCTCCGCTCTCTGCTGTCCTCCTTCACTGTTTCCAAGATGAGTTTAGCCACAGAGTCACTTTTGATGTCCCTGTAATCTGTCACTGGGGAGTCCCAACTGTCTTCCCCTTTAAAATCAAAGGATGAATCAGACAAGTCGGAAAACCACCTATCCTGCTGGTCATCAGAAAGGCTAAATTTGGTGTCTTCATTTTCCAGAAACTGGTTTTTGTTACAATATTCGTCAAAAGCAGAATCTTCCCTATAAATTTTTTCTTTTTTGAGTTTTTCTTTATCTTCTTTAAGAGTCTTTTCCTTTTCTTTTGAAATTTTGTCGTCTTTTAAATCGTTCTTTTTCTCTAATTTTGAGGGCCGGTCTTTTGACTTTTTCTTTCTTTCCTCTTTGTAGAGTCTCAGTTTTTCCTCCTTTGGAGACTTTTCCTTCACTGGCTTCTCTTTTTCTGCTTTATTTGAACGGTCCTTTTCTTCTCGGAAAGATCTGCTGGCATCTTTGTTCACATCTTTGATTCTCCTCAGGGACTTCTCATCCCTGGAGACTTTTATTATGTCATCTTTAAAGAGCCATTCTTTTTCTTCTGACTTCATTTTGCTAAGTTTCTCTTCTTTCTTAAAATGGTCTCTGTCATGCTTTAACACTTTCACCTTACTGTCAGTGGAAATGTCATTTTCTAGAAGTACAGCCTTGTCTGATTTTTGTCTGGAGTCCTCATACTCGTAAGTAAAACTTTTCAGTTTAAGTTCCTGACTGACTGAACACTGTCCTCTCTCCTTGTTTTTGTGTTTATGTTTTGTTTTATGTTTTTTGATGACTTTGCCCTCCTTGTCCAGCTTGGGAATGGCGCCATCCCCAGCAGGGTGGAAAGAGCCCCTCTTGTCAGGTGGAGCACCCTGCAGCCCACACCTCTTCCTGTGCTCCGGCCGCTTCCTCGCTGGCTTCAGCGACTCCACACTGGACCCCTCAGAGGAGTAATCAGACTCACTTGTAAGTCTCGTCCTGGTGGAGTCTGATAAAGAGCTGACCTCTGACCAAGCAGGGGAGGAAATGGTTTTCCAATTGTCTGTCCGCCAGTGCTTGGTGTGCTGGTCTGTGTGGTTGGGTTTCTGGGCTGCAGAGCTCCCGTGGGATGAGGTGGAGGAGGCAGACAGGGAGCTGAACAGGGAGGGGTCCTTCAGCACCAGCGGGGACTCTTTGAGGCAGCCAGAGCTCCCTACCGAGCCCCCGTCATCATCCTCACTCTCCGAGCACTCACTCTCAGACTCTGAGGAACAGAACTTATCGTTCCTTTTTCCAAACCTAACCTCTTTGCCTTTTGTTTCTTTCTTTCGCTTCTTTTTCACTTTGTTCTTCTCCTTTTGCTGCTTGGAGTTAGAAGACTCTCTTGTCTTACTACTGGGCAGCACCGTATGTGCCGAGAGCCTCAGCTTCTCCCCTGTCCCCACAGCCACGCTCACATCCTCCTCGTCTGACGTGTCTGACAAGATCCGATGGGATGCTTTCTTTGGTGCAGCCGTGTTGTTCCTAGTGTAACTCTTCACCTCCATCTTGGGGATGGAAATGAAGCTGTCTGCCTTGGCCTCCTTCCTATAGTCTTTCTTTAGCAGATGCTTGTCATCCACAGGGGGGACCCTGTCCTGCTCGTCATCCTCGTCAAACTCGTACTCGTCCTTGACGGGGGTCACAGGTTTCTGTGGCTCTGGATTCTTGGCCTTGTGCTTAAGGCCCTTTTCAAACTCAGAGTCCGTGTTATTGCCATCAACTGAACTAGAAGGTGCAAATGATGGGGCGTCCTCTTCTTCCGAGCTCTCTGTGGGAGGCAGAAAAGGAGAGGTCAAAGGCAGGCTCAGAGCAACTCCCCTAGAAGTAGCCAAGGGCAGACAGCTCTGCAAACATACCCTCTAGAAAGGCCTCCTCCAAAGCTGGGTCACCCCAGGAAGGGAGGGAGGCCTGGCTGCCCACACCCTGTATCTGGAGAGCATCTCCCTTAATGGACTGAAAGCTGAGGCCAACCCCAAGTAAAAGAAAACCAGAGAGAGGTTTGCTCAGAGACAAAGGCTGGCATGGCAGGCTCCTTGACAATGATGTGCCTAGGCAGCACAGCCCTGTGGGTACAAAGCCAGGTATGAGCGCTATAGTGCGCCCCTGCCATCACAGCAGCAGAAAGCCCCTGTGCCTGTCCTGTGTGTGTGCGAGCGCACTCACATGGCCTAGCCTGTGCATGCACACACACATGCACACACTCCCTCAGTGTATATACGTGCCCAGGTGGCCTGGCCCATGCACACATGCACACACCCATCCGTAAGCCAGGCGGCCCAGCCTGCACACACACATGCCCATACCCTGCCCCCCAGTGTGCATACACGTGCCCCGGCAGCCCAGCCTACATATGCGTGTGCACACATACCCAGCCTGCGCAGACGTGTGCCCAGGCTACCCACACGGACACTCAGCCTGCATGTGCATGCACACGCATACACACACCCAGGCAGCCCACCCTGCACACGCATATATACTCCTCCTCGCCTCAGTTTGCACACATGTGCCCAGGCACCCAGCTTACCAGTAGAGCTCTCCTCGCTGGATGTGTATGTGCCTTTGCCTAGGAGGAGGTTCACCATGGTCGGGGAGCTGGCTACTTTCAGTGGCGTCTCACCCTTCCTGTTGCTTTGCTGAGGGTTCCCTCCATAGCGCAGCAGCAACTTCACCACCTACAAAACACCAACACCAGGGTCAGGGCATTGTCTGAGGGCGTGACCACTCTATTGCTCTGTATAAACCTGCAGCCCACCCGAGAACAGCCCCGCGCAGTCCAAGCACTTGAGAGGCGACTGTGCAGAGGTCCCTGGCTGTGCCCAGCATGGCCATCGCTCTTCTGAGGGTGCAGTGGGGTCTCGGGGTCTCGGGCTCGCTTCCGGGCTCCCTTCAGAAGTTGCTGCCTCCTTCACACTTTCCCACCACTCCTCCTCCTTCCCGGGTCACCTCAGAAGGTGCCCCTCAGCCAACAATGAGCAGGCGGAGCTCCACGCGGCTGTGGGGGGTTCTGGCAGCTCAGGGGCAAGTTTTTATCAGGGTGTGGGGGCACAAAATAGAAGAAACAGATACCAAGTTTCTAAACGCTGCTTTATTTTTTTATTTTCATTTACATTAGAAAAAAGATAACCTTTTCCTTGCTTGATTTTACATGGGTAAGGACAGAAATGTCCACGGTGACAATTCACAAGTTCTGCTCCCGTTTGTGTTTCACATGCCAAGGGCAGCAGTTGATTGAACTCAAGTATAAATATCATATCTAATCTCAACTTTTGTCCACTCTGAGATTAGAGCATTCAAAGAATCCTTACTGAAGTTTAACATAAGCCCTCCTCACTCCCAGGATCTATGCCTGCATGGGCCATCACAGAGGCCTCTAGACCTCCTGGACACGTCACTACAACTCAGTCCACAGCAGCCCAAGGTCCGAGATCAGCCTCCCAGACCAGGCCAATGCTAACATGCCAGCAGGGCAGGCTCCTTCCTTTCCTTCACCTTGAGTCTCAGGCAGGACACAGCTCTTTGCAGGGGCAGGACTCAGGTCCTTGTCCCAGTTGCTGGAGACCACCGATTCCTGGGTCCCTTTCTCTAAGGCAAGGAACACAGGTCAGGGTCCTTTTGATGCTGGAATCTGAC